CCCCACGCCTCGCCCCTGCACCAGCAGCAGTCTCCTCTCCCGCAGCCGCCTCAGCAGCGCCAGCAGCAGGCTCCTCTTGCCGCCATCAAGATGGCGCAACACATAGAGATGATGGCGCAGGCGCAGCAGAACCAGCAGAACTACCGGGTCAACATGAACGGCTTGCCCATGACCCCCCAGCAGACGCAGCAGCAGCGCATGGCTCAAACCATGCAGATGGTGGCGGGGCCCCGCGGCCCCCAGGTCATGCAGCAACCCACTTTGGGGCAGTGGCCTGCAGCCGCTGGCCCCATGCCAGCTCAGAACCAACAGCCAGGCGTGGTTCCGAACCAGAACACGTCGCAGCAGGCCATGAGCATCCAGCGAGCCATGATGGCGCCAGGGCAACAGAGTCAGCAGAGGATGCTGATGCCCCAGCAACCAGGTCCGCGGCCGCAAACCCCCCAGAGAACAGGCACCATACCCCCGAACGCCCTTCAGGACCTCCTGCGCACCTTGAAGTCCCCGAGCTCCCCGCAGCAGCAGCAGCAGGTCCTCAACATCCTGAAGTCCAACCCGCAGCTAATGGCAGCTTTCATCAAACAGCGGACAGCCAAGTACCATGCGAGCCAGCCGCAGCCGCAAGCTGGGCAGCCGCAGCAGCAGCAACCCGGCATGCCGGCAATGCAGACCATGGCCATGCAAGGCGGGCCGGTGCAGAGGCCCCCTCAGCAGCCGCAGCAGGCTCCGGTGCAGGGCATGGCCCAGCTGGGCGCAGGGCAGCTGATGAACGCCGCTCACAGCGCTAACCCGCAGATCCAGGACCTCTACCGCCGGCAGCTATTGCGACAGCAGCAGCAGCAACAACAGCCGCAGCAGCAAGGGGTGATGCCGCAGGGTCACCTCGGTCAGTTTCCCAATCAGCCGCAGGGAACTCCTGCGATGTACTCCCACATCCGCATGCAGCAGCAACAGCAGCAACAGCAGCAGCAGATAGCCATGCAGCAGGCGGGCGCTGCTGGGGCTGGGGGCGTAACTATGGGTCAGCTCCCACCCATGGCCCAGATGGCCCAGCCCGGGATGAGCATGGACTCCACTCAGAGCCTGCTGCATCAGCGCATGCAGCAGCAGCAACAGCAGCAGGCACAGCACCCCCAGCAGCAGCAGCAGGCCGTCCTCAAGCAGCAGATGGGCTCCCCGGCCCACCCAAGCCCCATTAGCCCCCAGACCCACCTGCTGGCCGGCCAAGCTCAGGGTGCCGCCCACCTCTCTGCCCAGCCGGGATTGGCCAACGCCCTCGGCAACCAGGTCCGCTCCCCGGCGCCCGTCCAGTCGCCGGCGCAGCAGCAACAGCCGCCGCCGCATTCCAGCCCCTCGCCGCAAGTCCAAAACCAACCGCAGCCCTCGCCGCAGCACCCGGCCCTGCCGCACTCGGGGTCGCCCCACCCGGTGCTGGGCGGCCCGCTGCAGTCGCTGGAGCAGGGACACCTGGGGACGCCGGAGCAAAGCGCCATGCTGCCGCAGCTCAACACGCCCAACAGGGGGGGACTGAGCAGCGACTTGGGGCTGGTGGGGGACGCCACGGGGGACACGCTGGAGAGGTTCGTGGAGGGGTTGTAGCATTTTGTAACTGGGAGCAAAAAAGAACTCTTTTCTCTCCCAGTGCCCCTCACCTCTACTCCCCAGTTTCCCCCTCGGACTCTTCACCCCACCTGAGGGCTTCGTTCGTTCTTTCTAAAATTGGGAACCTTTTCGTTTTGTACTGACATGTAAAAAGTTTCAGCTGTTTTTGGGGGATGGGGAGGGCGGGAGGTGACTAAAAACGAACTCGGTCAAGATACAAACTGTTCTTGGGAATGTAATAGTTTCCTAAACCCCAAGCGTCTGGTTTGTTTTTCTTTTGTTTTTTCCTTAAAATGTTTGAGGGATTTGCAAGTTTTCTTCTTAAAATAAAATTAAATCACAAAGAATATATTTTTGGTTGAGACCAAATGTGTTCCGTACTCAGTTTATTTTCATTTGTGGTATGATTTCATGCCTTTTTTTTTTCTTTCTTTCTTTTTTTAAGAAAATGTAAAATTGCATTATACCATTCATATCTTTTATTTTGTACCGTTTAATTTTTTTTTTCTTTTTTGAAAAAAAGAAAATAATGCGGTTTTGTGTTAAAAACTGTACAAATTTTTTTTTTTTTTTTTGTCTGGGAATCGGGACAGGTTTGTTTTTTTTCTTCGCGAGCTGTCATTCCTGGCAATTGTAATCTAGTATTGTACCATTACTGTGAGACGATGCATTCAGGGACGGCAGTGGCTCCCTTTTTTGATTTTGACTTTTCGTTGTGCGCGTGTTTATGAAGAGCACTCGGTCGTATCAAAGTAGGAGCTGGCCTGCGGCAGGCTGCGTATTCGCTGGCATGCATGCAGGCGCACATGAAGACGCTGATGCACAGACCCTCACAGTCACTAATAGGAACACTGCTCTGAATGAGTTTTCACAGAGGACTGCAGACTTCAATCTCAAATTGGAAAAAAAAAATTCTGCTGGTGTAGAAAGTTGTTGGGTTTGACTAAAAGAAGAAGAAAATTGTCATACCTTTTTTTTGTTGTTTTTTTTTTTCCTTGTCATACAAATGTAAAGTGTAAAGAGAGTGTGAAAAAGAGACCAGCCCCCTAAGCTGAGGTGGAATTATAACAGGTTGTTTTGTAGAAAACGATCTCAAATGATTCCCAAAAGCCCCAAGTTTTACACTAAAGTTGTGAGCTATCAAGGGGTGAAAGGGCAACATTTGAGATTCACCGTAAGGAAAGCTTAATTGTCATCAACCTTCGTTCCTCTCACAAACACTTGAATTTGGGGGGGGATTTCCTTTTTCTCCTATTGTAAATCAAGCTATTAAGCAAAAATACTATAAATATAAGGAAGAGAGAATGAAATCACTGTATAAACTGGTAAAAGATTCATTTCTTACTTATATACCATATTGTTAAATAAACTGTGTGCAACAGAAGAACACCAGTACTCTGTTGACTGAATGAGGCAATACTTTTACTGTTGGTGTGTGTCGTTCATTTCAGTATAACTTTTCTGTCCTTTAGCATCAACATGGGCCACATAACCCATATCGAATCTTCTAGTACCTAAGCATTGCCTTTTTTCCCCTTTCTAAGCCTAAACATCTGCATTCCTGTATACTCAATAATATACATTTATATTTTTTGCCTTCAGAGTTTAGCCTCGTGTGTGTAAATGCTCAACTCCTCCATATTTAATTTACAGATGCATTTAAAAACAATCGACGTCCAAAAGTGAACTCATGTTTACTATATGCTGTGACGTATTCCAAGTCTTTTTAATTCAGTTTATCGGAATTTTATTTTCTTTAATCAACATTTAAACTATTACGAAGAAGTTAACTTGCACATCCACACATTTTCCTTTCACTAAACTTTCTATCAATGCAAAGTTTTACAAGTATCATCTCAGGTTGGCTTAAGGCTGAGGGCCCACTTCTGCAGGAGGACGAGTCCGGAGGTCTGTGGTTCTTCCCCCGCAGCTGCAGGGATTGGATGTTAAGTTTAACAGCAGCCATGTTGTAACTCTGTACCACTACCCTCATTTCTTTGACTTTTATTTCCATCTTCTTGCTAAAAGCAGTATAGGAGAAAACTAATCTTGCACCAAAGTTAGCCCACTTTGTCAGGATTGAATTGCAATGTCAATTTGTGATAAAAAAAACAAACGTGTTCCCATACTTGTTCTATTTTACAGCAGCAATCTAATCAAAATTAAGTACTGACAAAAAAAAAAATATATATATATATATATATATATATATATATATATATATGAGCTAATATTGAAGCCAGGTGTGCTGAAGCAGAGACATCTAGTTACTGGACACGGCCCTTGAGGAATGCAGTCTGGGACCAGTGGCATAAAGTATACACTACTGATAAGAGGAATTGCCTTTCAGGGTTAATAAACTACCGATTATCAATTTGTCTAGTCATGGTACTGCCGCAACATTAATGATGAAGAGCCGTTAGGAGCTAAGAAAGAGCCGGTTCTTATGGGGGAATGAGCCAAATTATCTGGATCTCGAAAAAACAGCCGCAATTCCCATCACTATGAGAATCATAAACATACTATTAAATATTGCTGAATAGAGCCAACAGCCGAAGGCTTTATGGCACTAAACGATAAAATGAGTTAATTAGTAACGCAGTTATTTTATTATTACTAGCTTGCGGCTTGCACATGTTCTTTCTGTAAAATTGTTCATTTGTGACCAATTTTCTGTTCTTTGAAAATTAGCTTAACAATCTGCACGTGCTCCTTTTAGGTTTTTGTGCTTTACATTATTTTAGACATACTTGAATATTTCAGATTAAACAAATTATATCAGAAAATACTCACCAAAGCATATCCAAGAACCAATTTTCAAAAGACAAAGGGCATAAACTAAACTTAGCTCCATATTTTCAGCGCCCGGAGGGGGCGCCGTCACGACACTCGTTGGTTACTACGGCGACTTTTTTGTAGTTACGTGCATAAAATAAAATAAAAATAAAATAAAATGTTCAGGGCTCAACAGAGGATTTTCCTTTCTAATGTTGCCCATATCAAAAACCCCGAACCCATATTTGAACCTCCTTAATTTCTAACACAATATGTCATTTTACACAGCAATGCTCAGAAGGTTTCGCTCACGGTTGGAGGTCTAGATTTTATTTTATTTTATTTTTTTACTTCCTTTTCTAGTGGAGGAATTATTGTATTCATAGTGAATTAAATATTTTTATTATGAACGCAAAATAAAGCTGGAAACATTAATTCAGCAGAGTACAAAAGCCAGTGTAGCTACAGAATTTGAGGTTCTTGTCCAAGTCAGAAAATCTGTCGTCGGAAACTCTGTATTTATTATATTAAAATATACTTAATATTACGTTACGTTTTTTGACAGTAAGTGACGTCAGCGAAGACGTCGTCTGAATAATCCCTGTTTATTGGTTAATTATCACGTGACCGGAAGCTAGGAATGGAGCGGTTTTGGTAAAACGTTTTGAAACATAAACAATTTCTCCGGGTCTTTCTGTTGTTTGTCAAGCAACGTTACGTAAAAATAAACATTCGTGACATCAGCGAGAGAGTGTTGAGGCAATGAGGGCCCTAACAGCAAATCTCAGTAAGTTTTTGATTAGCACAAACAGCTAGCATACCAACTGCTGTCTGTCGTGTTGTGTTTAAGGACCTTGTTTCCCCTCCGTTCGCAGGTGAGGAAATGGGTTTTCATTCCGGTTTCCCTGCCTAACCTGTCTGTGTTTGCGGGTTGGGGATGACAGCTGGAACCGTGCTGCTTTGCCTCCTTTAATGCAACACTAATGACATCGCCATGGACGATTCCGAGCTGGATTTTGTGGACCTCTGCTCCAGATTGCTGAAGCGCGTCCGCAAGAAAGAACCAGCCAGACCGAGCAAGAAGGCAGAAGAACAGCAGAGCTCCAGCCAAGCAACCCGGGGAGACAAGAGAACGGTTGATAAGCAGGATGGGGATTCTCTGTCCGGGTTTTCAGCCACTGGGTCGGAGGTGGTCTGTGGAAGAACTGGGTGTGACTCAGGGGATGCTGTTCAGTCTTCTGCTGTTCCTCCAGCTGACGCAAACCTGAGGGCAAAAGACAAAGTTCTTCTCAGGATGCAGGAGTTTAAGAGAGCCAGTCCGCAGAAGATGACGCACAGTAACAGAATCGGGCCAGCAAAGAAGGACGTCTGTACTCTGACTGTACAGCATCAGAAAGCAGGCAATGCAACGATTATCCCAACCCAAACATCGCCATGTAAGTTATGGAAATGGTGCTGATTTTTAGATGCTTTTCTCAGTGTGTGGTGTGCAGTTTTATTCAGATTTAGGTCTAGACTTTAACTGGGCCATTCTAACACGTGCATTGATCTAAGCAAACTGTGTCCTGCTAGAACATTGGGTCTGCAACCTTTACTATTCAATGACACCCAAAGCCATTTTTGCCCTCAGTCCAGCTACACTATAACTGCCTTATAAGCACAAATACTACACACATTTATTTTTACTACAGAAATTCTGTTGTAATTTTTAAACAACTGTTAATATTTTTGTTTTAAAATAAGAAAAGGATAAAACTTTCTTGTATGGGGAAGTTGGCATTTGCAAATAGTTTCTAGCCTAACAGTAATAGATAGATTTAAGTAAAATGACTAATACTTGTAGTGTCATTCTGTTGTTGAAATTCAATTAGATTATTCCCTAAAAAAACAAGAAAACAAAACAAAACAAAAAAAAAACATCTATTTCTAAAACGTCAGTTTTTTCTTTATCATTTATAAGTCTTTCAAAATAATTGTGGACAGTCCAAAGAGCCACTTGATGCTGTTTGTTCTCCTTTTAGGAGTTGGGTTTTATTTAGCAGTTTTACTGTGACCCACATCTGTCCTCAGACAAGGCGGCGTCGCCCCGCTCCGATCCCCGCTCTGAGCCCCCAGAGAGTGACGAGGCGCTGGCCCTGCGGTTGCAGCGGGAGCTGGACAGGGAGGCGGCCGAGGCCCAGATCGTGGACCTGGAGGACGGAGGCCTCTTCTTCTGTCAGATCTGCCACCGGGACTTATCACACATGACCCCCGAAGGGCGCACACAACACCTCAACAGGTCCGGACATGTTCTTCCTTTATGCGTTTCATGTTGCGAGCAGAGGCGGGTAGAGTACCGATAAATTGCACTCAACTAAGAGTAGCACTACTTCAACATATATATATATATATATATATATA